GCTGGAGAATGAGTTGAGTGGAGCTCTGTGCCCATTACTGATCCAGACACAAGCCTATCCATGTGGTCCATTAAGAGTCACTCTCATCAATCCATAAAACCTTTGAAAAATCTGTCTTCAGATACTTCTTGGCCCAGTCTCAATGTTTCAACTTATGTGTCTTGTTCAATGGTGGTCGGGTTTCAACCTTCCTTGCCTTGGCCATGTCTCTGAGCACTGAACACCTTGTACTTCTGGGGACTCCAGGTAGGTTGCAGCTCTGGAATATGACAGCACTGGAGGATAATGGGTTCCTAGTAGCTTCATGTTTGATTCTTCTCAAATCTTTGCCAGTTAATTTCTCTGTTTTTTCTCTACACGTTTCTTGCAACACTGTTGACTATTTGAAACAAAATGTTTGATGGTTCTGTGATCACGCCCCAATATCTTAGCAAGAGTGCTGCATCCCTCTGAAAGACTTTTTACAATTTTTGACTTTTCAGGTTCAGTTAAATCTATTTTTTGGCCCATTGTTCCTGAGGAAAAGAAGCTGCCTAATAATTATGCACACCTCGATATAGGGTGACGATCTTCTTGGGCCACACCCTCCCTCATTCCACAAATACACATCACCTGATATGCTTAAATCCAATAAGCATTAAAGTTTATACAGCTTGGAGTTGGACAATATGCATAAAAATGATGATTTGGTCAAACTAATCACTTGCCTAATAATTGTACACACAGTGTCTATTGCTTACAATTAGGAATTGCTGAGTCTTGCTGTCTCTGAAACTGTGAGAGAGGCTATATAGCCTCTTTAAATGGGCCCCCAAGGCCTCTTTAAATGGGCCCCCAGGAGGTATTATCCATAATTTGCTGGTATGTAGTAAATATTAGCACATTATTGACAGATTTACCTGCCAAACAATGCGCTTTAGCAATGCGCTGCCAGCTCTCCTGCTGGTCACGGCTGCTTTCATCTTCTCCCAGTCTTCCTTCTGGGTTCGGTCTGTCCAGCCGCATGAATGGCCAGGCAACGATAATGTTACTCCCATGGACGTTCACATAATTCACTTCACCATAGTACAGGAGGGTGCATGCGCAGCTCAGTGTACATTACCATTGACAGGCAGGGAGAAGCATTTATAACAGAAAAGACCAATAGGGTACTTGCATGATTTAGATGGTGTATATGTGTCACCTAGATTTCTCACTGACACATGGGGGGGGGGGTTAATAAACAATGTCTGAAACATACTTTGTCTAAACTTTGTCTCAACTGCAGTTCAGCCAAGGAGCTTAAAAATGTTCTTTTTATAATCTGTGAGGGAATAAAAATTAAATATGGAGGCAGATTCAAGGAGGTTCAGTCACTAAAATTTTCTTCTGGCTGAGGTCTGAATAGGGTGTCGCCATTAGAGTGCAACTTTACATCATGTATTCCCATCACATCAGGTGTGCCCATCAGAGTGCTCCTTTACATCAGTTGTCCCCATCAGAGTGCCCCTTTACATCACGTATCCCCATCACAATGCCACCTTACATCAGGTATTCCCGTCAGAGTGCCCCCTTACACTAAAAGTACCCCTTTCCATCATATTTTCCTATCAGAGTGCCCCTTTATATCATATTCCCCATCAGAGTGCCCCTTTCCATCAGATGGGCCAATCAGACTGCCCCCTTCCACATGTGCCCATCAGAGTGCCTCTTTCCACAGTATGTGCCCATTTGTGCCCCCTTACATAACATGTGCCCATCAGACAGCCCCCTTAACATAAAAGATGTCCATCAGAGTGCCCCTTAACATAAAATGTGCTCGTCAAAGTATCCCTTAACATAAAATGTACCCGTCAGAATGCCCCTTAACATGAATTGTGCCCGTCAGAGTGTCCCTTAACATAAAACAAGGGGCATGCTGATGGGCACATTTTATGTTAGGGGCCACTCTGATGGGCACATTTATATTAAGAAGCACTCTGATGAGCACATTTATATTAAGAAGCACTCTGATGAGCACATTTATATTAAAGGGCACTCTGATTGGCACATTTTATGTTAAGTGGCACTCTAATGGGCACATTCTATGTTGTGCCCATCAGAGTGCACCCTAACATTAAATGTGCCCATCAGCATGACCCTTTAACATTAAATGTGCCCATCAGAGTACCCCTGTAAGATTACACCCTACCCTGACAGCAGGCAGGGAGCAGGAGCTGGAGAGACAGTCAGCTGCAAAGGACGGGGTGCACACGTGATGTCATCGGCTGCCGTGGCGACCACCCTGCTCAGTGGCGGATCTGTCATCGCAGGCTGGCGGTCCAGAAGGGAGCACTGATGGGGCCATTCTTCGGACTGCGGTCCGCCATTCAGCGACCGCTGCTAGAGGCAATAACACCAGTTGAGACAGAATTTGTCTCAGACATTTTTTAATAATTTCACCTCAAGTTAAGGGGCTCAAGGATTTGTGTGTGCTATGGAGGAAACAAACCTAGTTGTTTTCTCAGTTTTTAAGAAGTTCTGGTCTGGGTTCAGGAGCCTTAAAGGCTTTGCAGAGCTTTGAGTGACATAAAGCCTCAAGTCCTTAGTTGACACTTTACCTGTTAGCCACAGGTGTTTTTATATCTGACCTATGCTAAAGTCTCCCTCTGTTGTGAGACCCTGTTGACACTAAAAAGGAACATGTGCTGCCTGTTTATTTTGGAGAGCCCTATAGGGGGAGCCCTGTACATTCCTGCATTGAACTATGTTTGTTTACTGCCTTGCTGATTAAAAGTGCAGGACACGCCTGCTGGGACTGTTATTAGGTGTCCCTATGCCTTGCATGGTGTCCCACTGGCACTACACCTTGAGCCTGTTCCTCTTACAGTACCCATGGACAAGCCCTATATGTGACACTACTGACAACTGCTGTTAAATCAGTATTAAACCCAAAAATAAACATTTATTTTATTGCAGCTTACCAATTCTTAATGGCTGTATTAGTTTCCTGTTTTAGGCGTTCTTTCCTCTACTTTCATGTAGTGATCTGGCCAGTAACTCTGCTTCTTTTCAAAAGAAAAGCTCTCTCATAGTTACAGGAATGAGACAGACCATTTAACATTGGCAAGGGTGCTTTAAATAATTAACTTTTATTTATGTAAAAGCTTTATCCCAAAATATGTTTGCTGTAACTGATTTTAAAGTATTAGCTAGAGTTAGGCTTCAATTTATTAGTATATTTAAATCTACTAGTACTTCTAACACTCCCCTCCCCCCCGACTGACAATGCTGCTGTGCAAATCTGTCCCCTGTGCTCATTTATCAACAGTAATGACTATATAAGTACAGAACATTACTGGCCAGGTCACCAGGGAAAAAAGCCTAAAAAAGAAAACTAATACAGCCACCACATCTAATGACTGGTAAGTTGCAATACATTGTTGCTTTTGGATTTAATATCACTTTAAGTAGCTCATGCTCTAGACACTGTATTTCAGGATAGGGAAGAGAATACATCTCACTGTAGCTGTTGTCGGCCCTAATAGGATTTGTTGCCAGTTATCTGCTACAGAGGTTACCTGTATTTTAATAGTTCCTGCAGTCTTCTCTATTCTTACTAACTCCTGATTAACAGGGTCATTCCACATTTGAACAAATTTGGTTTAAATGAAGACCATGAACAAGATAAATATTTTCAGTGTTTTCTGAATATAACTATTTTTAACAACTGTTCCAAAAAATACAGTAGGTAATCTACAAAATTAAATTAAACCATAATGTAAGAAGCAATCTATGAAATCTACAAGTTTTTGTCCTAGTATTCCACTTGGTTATATGTAACATAATGAAGAAAAAAAAAATCTTTCCATGAAAAACAGTTTCTGTCCATTAAAAAACAGTTTCTAAGCAACATAGAACCTCCAACACTAACTGTGTGTTCGCTCTACCTAGCAAATCTAAACCAGAAAAAAATGTTCCTATAATGTGGTAATATGATGAGCTTTTCTTGATCTGCAAATAAATAAGTGTTGTATATGACTGTAATAAAGTAGATACAGCAGCAACACGCACAGGGCTGAGAACGTTGAGAGCCGAGAAGGAATATTAGCTGCTGTCCCATTATCGGTAAAGCTGGGAAAAGTGTTCATTGGTAGAGGAATATTTATAAAGCAGAGACATGCATAAAAAACACAGTACAGGTGAATCTTCCAGTGCATGTGTTTTAAAATACTGTGAATGATTAACCAACTGTGATCGTTTGACCTCTTTCACATGGGGTGATTACATACCCTGTGCAGGGCAGTGTTTTGCCAGCATGTGGATGCAAAGGTCATGGGTGCATCCCTATGCCGGCATCCCATGGTTGTCTATTTGGACACTCGGCTGCATGGACATAGCCGCTGTGTCTCAATATGACATTTGTGTGGGTGGGGGTCCCCAAATGCACACAGTGTGTCCTCTGCTGTCAGAATACATCAACATTTGCTAAGATCCTTACAATAAATATAACTGACATTTAGATACAAAATTTGAAGTGGGGTATGACTAAAGGCAATTTTTTTTTATTTTTTAGATAGAGATAAGAGAGATTAAAACACCTGTTCATTTTCTATTGCTGTCTCTGTACCCGGCAGGGAGATTCACCCTCAGTATTTGTACTGACACCTGTCAAAAGTGAAAGAAAATTTAAATTTTTTCTTAGTGGTCACCATACCAGGAATACAAAGGAAACCTTCCAAAAGGGGGCTGGTGACTATCATAGATTTCCGTTTCTTCCTATAGTGGCTATGGGACAGAATTAGAGATAAGCTTGGGCGTGCTCCAAAATCATCTTTTTTTTTTTACTGTAATGAGCTGCAGGCCAGGTCATTCATGCCCCCATACCTTGCCTGCCTGGAAAAAAAAAAAAGCAGAGTTTGGCATTCAGAAAAAAATGAGCTTGGGGGATGTCCTGGCTCATCTTTAGACAGAAAGTGAAGGGAAATCTCCCCAATTGGATACAGATGGAAAAATATTTCAAAAGGCAGTTTATCTGTTACCTCTTTCTGGTATACAAGTCCAGCTTCGTACATCTTGACAAACAGATATTGAGTCCATTTGTAATAATCGGCTGAACATGTGGTAATTTCCTGTAAAAAAAACAAAAAATAAACATGTGAACATACTTAACACTTTATATCAATCAATTTTTTATTTATAAATATAAGTTTTTTTAAAAAACTTTATCAAGCATACTAATACATGACGTTAAAGTGGTGTGAAACCCAAGACCAAAAAATTTGATATATTGCAGCTTACCAATCCTTAGATGTAGCGCCTGTATACATTTTTTTGTACCTGTTTCCACTTGGTGATCTGGCCAATAACTCATCTCCTGTATTATACTGACACCACTATGGATGAATAAGCACAGGAGGCAGATTTAAACAGCAGTATTGTCAGTCTTGGGGGGGGTAATGATAGATGTACTAGCAGATTTAGATATACTAACAAATTGAAGCTAAAGTCCAGCTAATATGTTTTAATCATTTACAGCAAACAGTTGTTTTTCTTTTTGGGATAAAAGTTTTACATAAACACAGGTAATAAAAGCTGATCATTTTAAGCACCCTTGCTAGTGTCAAATTGTCTGTTTCATCCCTGTAACTGAAAGAGAGAGTTTTTTCTGCTGAAAAAAAAAACAGACTTACTGGCTGGATCACCAGATGAAAATAGATAAAAGAAAGCCTAAAAAAGAAATTTAATATAGTCCTCAGATCTAAGACTTGGTAAGCTGCAATATGTTTGCTTTTGGGTTAAATACTGCTTTAATTATTTAAATTAATATAAAGATGAATCTAACTTTTGTCACTATTATTAAACTCTGAATTATGAATTTTATTTATTGTAGCTCTATAAATAGGATCTCAACAAGCGTTGAAGGGGAAGCTCAATTGTTAAGAGGAACAGTGTTTAGGGACTCCAATGTCATTCGGCATTCCAGCTTGTGACAACAAGTTTGAAGAATCAGCATGAACCTCACAAGTTTTGCTTCACCTTGAACACAACTGTGGAGACTGGGGAATGAAACAGATGGTGAAGTCGATGCTGTCAACTCGCCTGTGAGCAAGGGAGCTGTGAAATGATGCTATAAGAAAGCTGCATGGGACTTCACAACTCCTTCAGGTGGGCTCAGTCTGCAGCAATATCTATGGCAGCAAGGACATGTCTAGCAAAAACTACAACTAGAATACAAACCCAATGCTATGCAAATAAATAATTACAGTAATATTAAAACTTACATTGCTGTTAATATCTAAACTTACAATGCTACTTCCAAAGATATGAGAGTGGATAACTCGATGAGCATTTTCAAGCTCTTTCTTGCTCTCCAGATGCATTTCTAATATATTTTTGATTATAAATATTAACAGTTGTGACAGAACATTTTCCAAAAAGTAGCTCATACTCCTTTCATACCATCATTTCTATCCAAGGCATGATTTGTAAATTATATTCTTCAGAGTACAGCAAACCATTTTCAAGTGTTTCCACATCTGAAGCTAAATTAAGATAACACCTACTTTATATTATGCTACAACATGTAACAAATATAAAGTGGTATTAAACCCCAAACCAAACAAATAATATATCACAGTTTACCAACCATTAGATGTGGCGGCTGCATTAGTTTTTTTTTAGGCTTTTTTTCCCCCTCTGTTTTTACCTGTAATCTGGCCAATAAATCATTTCCTTTATGAGTGCTGGTAGATCTCTTTTTAAGTTGCAATTTAGATTTGAACACTGTGTGCTCAAACAGTTAACGATTTAGAAACATAACTTCTGCATTGTATGTTAATGACTGACAGAAAATTCAGACTGCGCTAAGTCTCTCCTATTGGGACTGACTCACAATGTACTTGTACAGAAATGCTTGCAGTCAGCCATGACACCTTCTCCTAAGAAACATCTAAAAGGAAAGAAATATATTTATAAAAAAGTTTTTCTGTGTGCTGTGTGAATGGGAACACATAAACAAAGTGGGGTATGGTCAAATGTGGCTCTAAAAAGTAAATGTTCACTTTAGGAGCCAAGTTACACCACCTTAGTTATATATTTCAAACTTTTTGCTGCCAATCACAAATTTTTGCAAGATATCAGTTTTATTGAGATATTTATCATAACTCAACTAAATCATTAAAATATACAGTCCAGTTTAGCCTGGCTTTACAAAGATTTTTATTGAAGTTTTTAAAGTTAAATAACAAGTGGTAAAAATCTTAGAAAACGAGGGTATATCACTGGGCACTGAAATAAAATTACTTGCTTACTAAACTATACAAAATTGTTCACTAGCCAAGCACTAGTCCATAGTATGCAAATTTGATAACATTATGTCACATGGTACAGAACGGTTGGGAAAGTATAGTAAGGACACAAAAAAAAAAACAAAAAAAGTGGTGGTGGTGGGGCTCCAACTTTCAAGATAGGAGGGCTGGAAACCAGAAGAGGAAGGAGAGGCAGGGGACGGCCAATGACCAATGAGGAATTAAACCAAAGAACGAACAGGAAAAAGGGGAGAAAAAAACAGAAAGAAAAGAGGGAAAGAGGATTTGCCTAGGGAAAAAAAGGGAGAACAGAGAGGGGAGGTATCCTGTGCGGTTCAATCCATTGTGCCGTCCTGGAGTGGGCCACATCAATTGTTATATCGTGAACGGGAGGCAGTCCAGACCTAAAAGGTCTTTAAGATTTATCCAAGGGTCTCAAACCCTCAGGAACTTGGAGTGGGAGTCCCAATTCAGTTTAGCCTTGGAGGGATCTCCAAGAATTAGAAAAACCTTAAAGACTAACGTTGTGAAACTTAAAAATTATTCTTTGCAGTGGGGATGCACCTGCATGCCAAGGGCTAATAGCTAGTTTAGATCAAGGGCGCGGTGACAGTGTGAGACCCTGCCACTGTGAAAATGGTTGGATCACAGCAGAACCCAAGGAGATCTGATACCAGAACTACGTAGGTATTTAGCTGAGGAGGGGAAGCGAATGATATATTAGCATGGTGGTGGTGGGAGTGGAATTAATTAAACTCTCTAAAAATGCTTTTGGGCATTTCCTTACACACTAAGACCAGATTCTATACACTTGACCCTCATTATTGCCTAAAAAAAACCTACTTCAGTGAGCCTTCCACTGCTTTCTGTAGATGAGGAGAACCTCAACTCAAATTTGTTTCAACAAAACAGAAAATGTTTACTTTAAAAAAAATAAAGGTTGGCTGGCAAAAACAGTCCCAAAAAATGTTTGTGAATCGTGTTAACAGCAGTATTGGTCAAACAAGCTAAATTGTGGCTGGAGATCATTATATGCTAAACTTCCTGACATGAAGATTTTGAGGGCAAGCAGCCACCAATACCAAGCAAGTGCCAGTCTTTTTTAAACTTTGTTCACCCCTCTGGACTGCTAAATGCATGTTTTCTCAGACAAGAGGCAGATGCAGAAGCTTACACTGGTTAGCATGGTTTATACTGATTAGTGAAGGAATAGGTAATCTTTGCAACTTGCATTGACATCCTAATTTTTTTATGTCTCAAAATAAAATAGAAACGGCCTATCTGACTTAAGAAAAATATGTACTGGACAAAGGTCACTAAAGAGATTAAGACTTCATTATGGAAGTTTTCAGGTGGGGTTTCCACAAACATTACTCAAACATTGCCTACAGGAGTTATCATCAAGAAACCTGCCCTAAAAATGCAAACATTGATGGAGTGCATGAATGTAGACAGAAAGTGGCTGCAAACCAATAAGAGACAACCAAGGTAATATGGTATAAACAGTTTTGTATAAAAAAAAAAAAAAAACTCTTTATTATACACTGTGCTTTAGAAAACTAAATGTCATTCAACCAGTGTTTAAATAGGCACATGTCACAATCTGTTCTGAACAATGTTTCTTCACAGTTGGGAACAGGGCTTGAAGAGCAATTACATCTGGGCACAGCTCTCCCTGCTGATCCTGGACAGGCCAAGTTCACCAGTAATTGAAACGCCACAGTGTCAAGCAGGTCTGACTTACTTGATATTGATTTCCACTGCTTGAAAATTGCAAAGGCCAAAAATCCAGTAGTTCTCAGGCTGTTAAAGCATTATCTAATTACATACTTTGCCTTAAGCTAGTTATCTAAAGTATATTTAAAGCCAAAGCTTTCTTTTATTTTGGATTGTGGGGAAGTGCTAAAGCCCCTGTAATGTTTTTACTGCTATCTGCGTCTCCGCTGGAGAGATTCACCTCTTCTATCTGTCCTGCCAACACAGAGTGATAGGAAATCCTAAATTTTACAGTTGTCACCAACACTTTGGTATATACTCTCATTTCGGAGAGATTTCTTCTCAGTCCCTGTTGAATCTCTGACAGATTTATTATTAAATGCATGGCAAGACCACTTACTGTTATCTCACATATATATTCTTATTATTATAGCCAAATTTACCACCCTAACTCCTCCCACAGTTTTTACACTACATAGACAGTAATATACCGAAACGTGCAGATTTTTCCCGATTGGTGTGCTATTACTTTGTGGAATGTTTTACCAAATGGTTCATGAAATATCGGCGTTTTTGTGGTGAAATTGGTCCCATAGGAATGAATGGCGGAATGTTCAAAACTAGAGTGGGAGCTGACAAAAGCTAGAGTGTGAGCAGAAAAATCAGGACATGATTTCTAAACTGCCATCACTCTGTCATTTTCAAGCCCACCTACACAAATCTTATATCAAAACGTTCAGCTATCCCTGCTGCCACTAAAAATGTCCACGTCTAAGCCATGGTCCTGATAGTTTTCACAATATGACCATTTGTTTGCAACTCACGCCACCCATTGGCATTCTTTGAAACTCCACTCTTGCCACCTCAAATTTGAAGGGCAATTTCTAAACTGCGACTGTGCCTTCATTTTTAATATTTCAGAGACATACTATGCATCAAAATGTAGGTCTTGATCTTGTGATTCTCACAATATAAAGCACTTCGCTGCAGGATTTATAATTTTTAAACTACAATCGTTTGAAGATGGCAACCGCCAATGAAGTGAGCAAGTTGGAGCAGTTTGTTTTTGCTGTAGAGTGAGTTGCCATAGGAACCCAGGTGTGTGA